TGAACGTTAGGGTTTAAAAGTGGCGGGCATAGAAAATAATACAAGTGAGGGCATAACATTATTAGCATCAGACTTAGGCTCGCGGTATGACAGTCCAAGTTCATGTTGCCTGCGGCATTCCCCAGCTTTAATCGGCACCCTTGAAGGAGCAGAAATTGACTCATCATCGGCGCGCGATTCATCCTAGGAGCAAGAGAGGGTGTGCATTAAACGAGCAGCTTCTAAGTCGTTATCAGCTTTCATTAGCTGGATCTGACGGTCCTGCTCATCTCTAACAGCCTGCATTTCCAACACTTTCTGCAGCTGACTTCGCTTCAACTCAGCTGATATTAAGGCTGACTCGGATTTCCTGCTACGCCTGCCATCTCCGGACCCAGCCGAAGAGCCCACACAAGAATGCGTATCACGAATCACTCGCCTGCAGCCTATCTGTATGACCACTTCTCCAGGGTTCTTCTCATTTGATACACCGTCCCTTGTTCTTGACATTTTCGACGAAATTCACGAAAAGTGTTGTCTTGTCAAGTATTGTAAGCGACAAAGTCGATAAGTCGAGTAACGAGCACCGAAGAATGGATCCGAATTCAAAACGAAAGTGATCCCGACGAAAATGTGCTGCACTGTATAAAAAAACATCAACTAATCAATTAATGTACAACAAGCCTTGACAGTTATCGACCGACAGTTAGACCCACGACAAACACGGAAACAGGTATCAAGCGTGAGAAACCAGTTCGAAAAGTGGCAAAAATGTGAATTTAAACAATTGGTGATGCGGTTCATTTGAGGAACCAAGAACATGTTCATAGTTTGTGCAACGCAATGTTTTAATGGATGGGATAGGGATGGGGTGGTGCGATAATAAGAAAATGTCAATGAATAGAAGGCAGGATTGAGTGGGACAGTTGAATTTACGCAGTTGAGTTCAGGGAGATTGGGCGGGAGAAATTTTCAAGCGTTTTGTGCGATACACTACTTGCATATGAGGTTCGCCTCCTCCAGGGCGTCTTTGCCTTTGGTGGGCGAGTGGCTTGTGGTGGTCGAATAAAAACTGCTCTCCGGAGACGCAGTTGGTTTCGTCGGCCTGCTTTCGGGATCACAGGATGATATGACCGAAATCGATTTGGTCTTGAGTTTTAGGTCGGCTGAATTGGCGCCTGGTGGAAGCCTGTTTCGTACTTCCACCTCTGACCTCCTCTGACGAAGCTTTCGCGCGTCCAGAGGACGATCCTCAGAGAGGCACCTGATCATTGGGTTGGCATTTTGAATGCTGCCAGCCCGCTCCCAGATCTCCTGTACGTCAGATGGGGAAGAAAGAGTGACTAGAAGTCCAGGAGTTCGTTTACTTCCCTTCTGGCGTAGCCATTCTGCGTTGAGCGATTTATCAGGTTTGGTGAGGATATTGCTAAGGATCGACTGTGCCACCGTCGCTGGCGTGACTTTTTCTGAGAATGACCCCCAGATGATCAGCCTGTTTTCCTTAGGCCCCTGTCCACTAGAGACGCTGTGGCGGTTTTTATAACCGCGTCAGAAAGTTGTGTGACTTTCTTCGCAGCCAGACGACCCGGTATGAATATCGCTAGGTATTGGTGCAACGAAGAAAGTTCCTTGTCAACCTTCGTCCAGGTCGCTGCACTCTTAGAGCCTGATTCCTCCAGTGCCCTTAAAAGACGCTCTAATTTCGCGTCGAGTATCCCAATTAAAGCGGAACACTGATAGTGTTCTTTCTGAATCTGCAGTGGGGATTGGGTTCCGTTTTGGGGGGCTCTCCTGTTGGCCGCGGTATGCATTGCATCCTCAACGTAGAGGCAGATGGCGCAGAAAAACGGGTCGGGAGAGTTAGCTAGTCGGGTTACCTGGTCGTCCTCTAAACCCGTGCATTTAAAGTGTCACCAGGCCTTACAGGTGTGGCATTGCATACCGCGCTTGACGTTTGACGGGCAGCCATTTCGTCCACATCTGTTGTGGTCTATCAATGGCTGCATAGGGCAATCGGTATAAATTGATGTCATGTTTAGGATTAGCTGTAAAATAGGAGGTGTGCGCAAAATATCAAGGGTTATCTCTCAAATGTTTTGTTAGAGTAATAAAATTCAACAATTACTCGTGTGTACTCTGTGATTAGATTGAACAACGAAAAAATTCTTTCACGAATTTGCACGAGGGAAAAACGAAGCTGATTTCGAACGTACCGCGCGTATCGACTGTACCGCGCGCACCGATGAATATCGCGTCAGGCTCGTGAATATTCCAGACATTGACCCTGTTTAACTCATCCATTTACTTTTGTCCCAGTTTAACTTGATCGGGAAAGTCATGCATTAGGGAAACATTTGCTTGGCAGAAGTTCCAAATCCATGTTTAAGGTTGGGGATTTACGGCCGATGTCGAGGTAAACGTTCCTGGTTGATTTGTCTGTATGCTTCGCTGCTTGCCCCCTCATATCTGACTCAAGCAAGCTCAGACGTTTTGACTTCAGTGTAGAATTCACTGTTGCACCTTTACCTTCTGATACGGAAGTGAGCGATGGTAACTCTACGTACTTTGGACCCTGAGTTTGTGTGAGGCTTGGTTCCTTTAGATCATCGCTGGGTTACATAGCCAGTTGTCTGCGGTGTTTTAGTAGAAGCTACAATCCGGAGTCGCGGCTGGTTGCTTCGGTGTGCTTTAAAGAGCACAAGAGGTCGAAACCACCATTGACTTGGCCATGAATTTGGGATTAGCTGAACTTGAGCATGGGGGAAGCCTGTTTTGCGCCTTTTCTCTAGGGCGTCTGTGACCCGAATCTTGCTCCTCTAGACAGCGATCGTCGGACTGCGCTTGATCGTTGGGTAAGCCTTCTGGATGCCACCATCCTGGCCCAAGATCATCTGTACTGCAGACAGGGAAGTAAGGGCGAGTAAAAAGCCAAGTGTTTGCTTGCTCCCCTCTACTCGTAACCACTCTGTGCGAAGGGATCTGTGTAGAGCGAAAAAGCCAGTTCCGCTGTTTTTTCTAGAGAACGACCCTTCAGGTGATCGGCGTTCTTTCTGTTGAGCCCCTGACTACTTAGGATGCGGTCTTGACGGTCGCATAAATAGCCGGAAGACATTTTTTACAGCTGACAGGCCCGGGGAGAATGGTGCTGGACAGTTCAGGAAAGAAAGTTCACCGTCGACTTTCGTCCAGGCCATTTGTTTCTAGTGTTTGCTTCTTCCAGAGCTTCCGAAAGAAGCGCCAGCTCTGCGTCGAGTATCTCGATTAAAAGGGAACATTTGCGCCGGTCTTTTTGATAGAGCAGTAGAGAATTGGCTACGCTTCTGGCTGCCTTCTTTTCGGTTGCAGAATGCATAGCACCCTTAAGGTGGAGGCAGCTGGCGCGGAATATACGGGTCAAGAGTGTCTTTCTCCTAACCCGTAAATTTAAAGTATCACCAGGTGTAACGAAAGCGTAACGTTGCATACAACGTCACACAATTAATGGACATCCGTTTCGACATCTGTTGTGGTCAGTTCTTCACACAAACACTTGGGCAACCCTCCAACGTCTAATATTCCACACACATCAGCGCCTTAGGATGATTTTAGCGCCCCTAAAGTCTCCCGATTAGAGCTCCACTATGTTGCGCGGCGCTGACCAAAGTCATTCAACAGAACGCTTAGACTCAAAATGTCTTCGCACCCACCAGGTACCACGGAGATCAACAATCCTTTCAGCCATATTTGGTTATCACCAGCGAGGACACTCCATTCATCAAGTGCCAACTGGAGCTCTACTGGGCGCGGTGACCAATGTGTAAGGATTTTTTAATTTCATCTGCAAATGAGCCAGAATTCCGGAACCACAAGCATGGATTCAGAAGCTGTGCCGTGCATAAGCTCCAGAAATTAGTAGACACTCTGAGATTATGTGGAAGAGTTACACGGGATCACTGTCCAGATAATTCATGGGGCTGACGGATGATCTTCCAGAAAAAACCAGCCTGCAGTCGTATAGATTAAAATCAATCTAAAAAGTTTCAACGTTTTCTGGACAATATATTTCAACTATTTTTGAACAGTTGACTGCAGGTCGCATAGTATTGGCTGGCATTTCGTAAAATGCGGAACCGCTGTAAATCAGAAATCCTTCAAAGGGACACGCAAACAAGCCATCATTCTAGACTCCACTTGAAACAACTGAACTGTGCTGTTTGAATACGAGATATCGCCGCAGGAATAAGCAATCTGCGTTCTCCTTCAGGGACACGAAGGGGGAATTTATGAATGACCAAACGGTGGTTTCTCAAGTCTACAGTGGAAACAAGGCAGATCTAACTTCAGCCCCAGCGTCCTCGTCATACAAAATCTTTTCAAGGCGTGACTATCAACGGCCTCTAACAGATTCGGTCTTGACGGAAGGGGACATTTTCAACTCTTGCATAAAACAAACCAGCTCTGCGTGTCGATGCCAGAGAGGTCCATCCAAGGGTCCTGGCGAAACCTTTTTAGCTGGTGTTCCGTCAGAAGCTTGACGCAGGCAACCATCCCTCTGCTTGAAAAAAAGCGGTTGTTAAGCCACTCTACAAAATCGGTGGCCGACTATCCATCGACGACTACAGACCTATCAGCTTCACTGGGATACTGCGCAAGGTGATGGGAGTGGGTCACCTTAAAACACCTTAGTGCCAACAAACTGATATCCTTGGTGCAACATGGATTTCTCCCAAACCGTTACTGCGTGACCAAAATATTCATATTTGTGAGCAATTTAACCCAAGCTGAGGAGGAAATGCTCAAAAAAGTTTCCACATATTGTGATTTCTCAAAGGCATGTGATCAAGTTCCATATGTTCCGCAACTTACATGTTTCCAGGGTAACTTCTACGCATTATTATGGCGTTTACACCAGATTAAACATTCCGACTGAAAGTAGGCTTGACTCACTCTTCTTCAGCTTAAGTCTTCATTGCACTTCTTCAAGGCTCTATCTTGGGAGCACTTCTGTTTGTGATCTGCGTCCACCATCCGCCAGATGTTCTTTCCAGTCTATATCGACGTTTTGCAGTCTACTTGGAATCTTCAGGCTTAAATACCAGTGTCCTTTAATGTATATGGACGCTGCAAAACAGTGGTCGCTGGAAGGGCACCTTCCCCTGAATGACGAAAAGTGCATCCATATGTCATTCGGAGGAAACTCGGTGAACGCCCTTGTAGTGCATGGTAAGAATGAACCAGAATACTTATGAGGAAATATGTGGAAGATGATTAAAGTATCTGGCCCCCCTTCAAACGTGTGCTTCTCGCTGCACGATGAAATGTTTGTCTAAACGGCACTCACCGTTCTGCGGATGATTCGCGCACATTCTCCCGTATACTACAAAGGACTTTCAAATACCCTATGGGGATTACGTCAGACCGCTCCTCGAATATGCCAATCAGATTCTTTATTCGGGACGCACGAGGAACTTAACACTCATTGTGCTTGTCAAGCGAGCTGCCACGAAAATTGTCCCTGGCCTTAAACCATG